CTTAGCAATAAGATGTTCATCATTAGTACATAACTCAGTTTCAAATACAGTTTTATCACATTCAAAACCATACACCCTTTTATGAACTTTCAATCTTTCTGCTAATTATACATGTGACACATATATCCTTCTGATATCAAGTCTTCTCTTGATTTTATTTTAAATACTCTAATAAAAATCTAAAATGTCACCATAAGTTAGCCATTTCTGCTTAATGGCCATTTCTCTTCTGTAATATGCCTCCTGTGGTGATAGCCATAAAGATATTTTTTGACCCAATCTAGATTTATATCTATTCCAAATCTCAAAATGGCACATCTAATAAAATGATTTTTGAAATCTACATTAACCTTAACTTTATCATACCATAAATAGCTGTGCCACCCAAATCTCAGATTGTGCCCTTCCAAGTCCAATAACCTTCCATTTCTCGACGTCACCCACTCTTTCATCCAAACTAAACAGAAAGCGGCAAAGTACAATTTCAAATCAGGTAAAGCCAGACCTCCTCTTTCTTTGGCATCCTGCAACACCTTGTGTTTAACGTGGGGTTTTTTTGCCTTGCCGCACAAATTTAGATATATCCTTCCACCATTGTTTAAATGGTCAAAATTGGTATTGTCTAAAACAAAAATAACATTCTAGGCAAAAGAAGCATCAGGAGCTTTTCTTATTGAAGACAGATATTTGCTAAGTTTTCTGATTCTGCAGTTGCAGTTGGCTGTCACTGAGCTCTAATTCTATCTTGTGGAGTGTAAGAGGAATAGCAATTAGCAGTTCAAATCTATTCAGTGTTCAGTGAGGTTTCTTCCAAGATAAATGATTCCCCACCTTAGGCTTACAGTACTAACATCTTTGGCCTAAATATACTTGCTGTGGCCTGAAGATAATTTTTATAACCCATGCAGGACCCAGTTGTACTCTTTAATTCTTCTTTTAAAATTATGGAATTTAGTTTTACTGTTGGATGTGAAAACAGATATTAGAGAACAACATTTCTCAGCCTTGGCTTTGAAGTTGTTTGGAGTTGCAACTCTCTGAATTTACACAGTAAGTAATGAAGTAAGGCAAGGTGGTTCGTGTAGATCTGAGTGTATATGCTTGCATTTTCTGTTTACATCTGACTGTGAATGAGTATGGGAGGATTTATGTATTGAGATGTTTGAGACTTCGTCTTGTTTTTCATGTTTGACATAGCATTTCTGGTCTGCAGAAATCCAGGTGACCACAGCAGACGCTAACTATTTGCTGCTATCTAGTTATTGTCTAGGTTTTTGAAGTCCATATATGGTATGCCTATATTTTCTGCTTGGTTTTACTTTTGTTTTGTGATCTTGTCTGAGGTCAGTTAGAAGTTCACTGTACTATAACATAAATCCACTTTGCTCTCCGACTGGACCAATGTAACAAAATTGCTTGAGCCACTTCAAATCTATCTGTAAGAATCTGCTAATAAATCCTTGTTCTTCTTCTTTAGTTGTACATTTCATTGAGAAACATGCACATTGGGTAGTTCTATATCCATTCTACTTTGTCTCTGTTCATATAAAACAGATTTGCCACTTTTCAAAGAGCGTTCTAAAATTAAATTAAAATGTGGCTTGCTTGTTTGTGGTTTAAAGTGTTGCTTAATCCTAACTGATGAAATTTATAAACTATGTGATATGATTTATGTATATGGTTAACCCTGCCAGAAGTAAAATACTCAACGTACTCAAATTAATTTAGCATGTTAGATTATCATAGTCTTAGAATGAGATTGGAATTGTCAGATTTATTGACTGAACTTTTATATTCTGCCAAAAATTGTCAAAAGGAAAAAATGTGGCACTAAGTTATGACTAGGGTAATATTAAATTCCCAAGCTCCTTTTGTATTCTTACTTGCTAGTATTCCATTATACAGTTGTGGGCAAGATGTGGATTTTTAACCAGATAGTGTATGTTGTGGTGAAGGATGTTTTGTCCTCCACTCAT